TTAAATATAAATGAATTCAGCTACGGTAACATTTTATCAATACGACTCTTCCACAATGGAATGGTATTGTCACAAAATGCTTTTCTTGAGCCAGTAAACCACAACCCCCTGACTTGTAGTAAGAGGCGGAAGAGGTGGTGGGGGAGGGGGTGGTGGAACAGGAGACTCATTAGTTGGCAATTCTTTTGGCATCTTTGATTCCTTATTACAAGACTCTGCACACTTTGTAGAACAAGAGGTTTTGCCTTGGGAAGATGTATCATCACATCCAATCATTGGACAGTCACATGTCTCTAACATCTATCAAAACAAATACATTAATGTATATTACAAAAGATGGCATGTCTCATTCTGCAATTAAACCTATTCATCACAATGTAACAACATAAAAAGCAGGGCTATTTTATACATGGGGCCAAGTACAAAATGTACCCCCAATTTGAGAAATTTAAAAAAAAAGTGGCATGTCTTGTTTCTATAATAGTATTAACTGTATCATCACAGACGTTGAAAGTCTGCAAAATGAAGTTGATTCAACCACACTGAAGATATTGGACAAATTTAACTAGCGTAGTATTTGCTCTAAATGTGTCAATCCACCATTTTAAATCAGTTGGTTTTTCACTAAAATTTCACTCAAAAACTACAAAATTGTTTATTCTGCTATCAAATTTTACTGTGTGGGCATTCATCAAGCTTCATTGGGGTCTTAGACGACTATGCAAAGTATTTGATGGTCTGAATTTGAGTACACTTTGAGAATAAATTACTTTGAATTACAGATTAGCTAAATTAGCAAAAACAACATTCTAGCTGAAAGATATGTTTCACAATACTACACACAGCACAAATTCAGATCATCAAATAATTCACACTTCAATACCATGTACATACCTGAGTAGCTAATGTGTTAGATGTGAGCCAGCATGGTAGTCTGGACACGTCAATACCATGTACATACCTGAGTAGCTAATGTGTTAGGTATGAGCCAGCATGGTGGTCTGGACACTTCAATACCATGTACATACCTGAGTAGCTAATGTGTTAGATGTGAGCCAGCATGGTAGTCTGGACACTTCAATACCATGTACATACCTGAGTAGCTAATGTGTTAGATGTGAGCCAGCATGGTAGTCTGGACACTTCAATACCATGTACATACCTGAGTAGCTAATGTGTTAGATGTGAGCCAGCATGGTAGTCTGGACACTTCAATACCATGTACATACCTGAGTAGCTAATGTGTTAGATGTGAGCCAGCATGGTAGTCTGGACACTTCAATACCATGTACATACCTGAGTACTAATGTGTTAGATGTGAGCCAGCATGGTAGTCTGGCACTTCAATACCATGTACATACCTGAGTACTAATGTGTTAGATGTGAGCCAGCATGGTAGTCTGGACACTTCAATACCATGTACATACCTGAGTAGCTAATGTGTTAGATGTGAGCCAGCATGGTAGTCTGAACACTTCAATACCATGTACTTACCTGAGCAGCTAATGTGTTTACAGGATCACAATACTTGTAGCCCAGATGTTGATAGAAATCTTGTTTATCTTTGGTACACAGATACATTGTATGAGAGCCCATATTACGAGCATGTTCTTCTGTAAGATCCATCAGTTTCCTACCCAGACCCTCTCCTCTTCTTTTCTTGTCAACCACCACTGGGAAAACAAAATAAAAATGAGTTTAAAATGCATCAATTACACAAAATTAGTTCTTTAAAAGAGTGATAACAGAATGCATAACATTTTTTATCAATTTTCCTGGTGGAATCATCTACACACAATTACAACATTTACATAAAGATGTAACATGGATGAAAACAAGACATTTTTATTAATGATGTTTTGATACAGTGAGTATTCTCATTTACGCAGGTGCACAGATTATTTTGATACGTATGATAACAATCCATACGCATGGTGTTGTGTGTGCTGCACAAGAAACATTTTTAGCACATGTATATTGCCACAGTGTAAGGCCTGCTCATTCCTATTGAGAGGGGCACCCACACGACTCACACAGGACAGGGGCTTCTTTCACTGCTAAAATGGGGTAGACAGGACAATAGTGCTGGAAATGAAATATATATGATAAATCTTAAAATGATTTGGTCTAAACCATGAAATAACAATGCAACAAAATATTTTTTCATCCATATTGAATCCCTAAACTATATACATAATTCATAATGGAATTATATATTAAACACAATTACAGTGTTGATTTCCATTTATGATACCTTGAAACAAAAAATGATACCGGTACTGACATAATGAGGGAAAAAATATTACACAGCATCAAGGGCCGAAAGTCCTTCCATATCATCTGTTTGCTTTATAACAATCTAGGAAAACAAAATAGACTTATAATATATATACCCAGCTGTATACAGCTTATGGGGAGACTATAATGGTTGTATAAATACCTGATTCAACCAGTACTGCATGTGGTATTCCAATAACTTTACACAGTCTACTATGTCCTAGTACAATTTCCTTCTCACCACATCTCTCTGTCATCACCATAGAATATGGTAACTCATCTTTAGATTTATCTAAGGAATGCAGTCTGTAATACAGAATAGAATAGAATAGAATAGAATAGAATAGAATAAAATAGAATGGAATAGAATAGAATAGAATAGAATAGAATAGAATAGAATAGAATAGAATAGAATAGAATAGAATAGAATAGAATAGAATAGAATAGAATAGAATAGAATAGACTATTTGGATCAAAATAATGTAATAATAAGAAATTACAAAATGTTTTGCCAAAAAACGAACAAAAGACCAAACAATGTCAATAATAAATACAACAAGAAAACATTCAACAAATATTATAAATTTCTGAGATTTTATGAATAAAAATCTCTTGTGGCAATGAAATTATCTTTTGAAACTAACAGTTCCCTCATAATGATCTGTTTTGGCAAACTCTCAAATTCTTCATTGTACATTTTGATTGTTTTCAAAAATTTGCTTCTAGTAGTTTCCATCTCTGGGTTCTTGCAATCTAAGAGAGCATGCATCTCACATGTACATGTATATCAGCATTATTATTTCCAACATATCTATATCAGATCATTCAATAGCAATAACTCTGTAAGATCTGTTTTTCATACATAAACTGTGTCTGGTTCATATAATTAATGTAGTTGTTACCATTAAAAATAATCATCAGATTTCTTTGACAGACAAATAAAATATGATCACCCAATTACTTTTCACACTTTTTTTAACTATATCAATTGTACCTATAAAAACGTCTGCTCAATTCCCAACTGTGGAACTTTTTATTAATTCAAAAGTGGAGCACTTCTAGTTTCTAGTTGCACCATGACGCTAGACCAAATATTCACACCAACATGTATGATGTGGTGTACTATGAACAATTCATTGGAAAAATACTTCCATTTAGCAGTACATATACATCACTAGTGGTCATTTTTCTGATATTCACTCTACTGTGATCACTTACTTTTTTTTATAGTTCACTATAATGTTTTGATAAATTAACTTGTTATCATATCATATTTTGATTTTCAGAAACATAATAATTTATCTTAGGTAAATTCTGATGATTATTGTTTTTTATGAAGTAATGATTTAACATGGATATTTTTGCATTTTCAGTTTTTATGCCAACAAAATTTAGTACTGGATAAAACAGTTTGTGTTGAAATTATGTAACCATTCTGAAACAAAGCATTATCACCAATCCATAATTCAAATGAATGACCTTAAAACAACCTATAGAGAGAATATGTATTAAAATACTGCAGAGAATGAGTCATATTCATCACTTGAAACTGATCTGCAGAACCGTTATTTTCAATTCATTCATTGAAATATACAACTTGTACATTTGCTTTAAATATTTTTATGTTATCCAACTTTTTAAAAACAATATTTCTGTGTAATATCATTGTATGTTGGGGAAATATAACCATCATAAAATTTTTTTAAATATATAATTGAATACATACCCGCATGTATACTACCAATTAAATTAAAATTAAATAAATAAAAAAGTAAATTTTTAAAATTTGGCATATTTTATGGGATCACCTTGACATAATATATATAATTAATACGTGGTTCAGCAAAGTTCAAACCACCATGTGATATACCGTTCATTGCCGATGACCTACATCAAGGATAAGATGATATGAGAAAAACAAACTGAGAAAATATCGGCTAATCAAATCAGATTTCAACCTTAGTCAAGCTAAAAAACTTTGAACTGCGTAGTATGCTTACCAAATCTCAAAATTGAAATGGATCGTCATAAAAAAATTCCCTTAAACAACAGGGTTCATGACATGTGTAACAAAGGTCTAATTGAAGATGACATTTATTTTCTGATGGAATGCAACAAATATAATGAGTTGCGTACCAAACTGTTCAATAAAGCTAAGGATATGATCCCAGCATTTGAAAATAAACCTGCAGAGAAAAAAATCATGGAATTGTTACAGAATGAAAACATTATTATACCAGTAGCACAGTTCATAAGTAAAAGCTTTGAAGTCAGGAAGCAGGGTAATATAGCTTACTTGACATTTCAATGCCTGCTGTCATTTTAGTAATTTCATATTAGTTAGTATTATAGTGATTTTGTATTATTTAGTAATTTAGTGATTGTATTTTGTTATTTAGTATATTGTTTTTATATTTTTTTTCTTGTACTTTGTGACCATTTTCTTTCACTCCGGGGATTGTATAAGAGTCAATAAGTAAATAAATAAATAGATATACCGGTAATGTATTTCGAATCTCACCTAGCCGTATTACTTCGGGGCCATTGACTATTCATCAGTTCACAACATTCTTGCTTTAAATCTACTCTTCTGTGCAAAGCGTGGATCTCAATAACTTCTGCCATCTCAGTAACACCTCAAAGATAAGAACTACAATCGCATGACACTTGACATTTGTTCAGTACTTCCGGGTTATTGACCTTTGAACTCTAATGATCAGGTGATCAGCATGGCTGAGAAGGTGGATGAAATGCCGGAGCCTTTGTCGGCAAAATATGTTGAGTAAGTAAATATTCAATGGACTTGTTAACCGGCATGAGTTCAATGCTTTCATACCTTGGCTAACTAACTAACTAGATAAGTGTATAGTTCGTTCACATCCCACATTCTATTCCTATCACAGTTCTCTAAGCTCAGAGGAATTCATAGGCGGGGGGGGGGGGGGGGGTTGCTCCTGCTGTGGTGAAAAAAATGCATTAAATAGTATATGCCAGTGTACTACTGAGTGTATACTAGTTATATTTTCCATTCACTGTAATACTCTATAAATCATGTGCACGTTAAGAGTTCCTTGGAACCCCTCTATAAACTCTAAATTTGTAAGTAAGTAATGCCTTTATTGAAATCATAAAAAATACAATTGAAATCATAAAAAAATACAATAAAGTTTCAAATACATACAGCAAATGAAGACATAATGAAAACATAATAAAATAAAAACGGAGAACAAGGAATGGTTAGAAACACAAAACAGAAAAGGTATCTTAATAAGTTATATTAATTATAAAGCAGCTGGTATTTTTTGTTTATGAGTGTCATTTCTTAAATTGAAGCACTCAAAGATATATTTTGCCAAATAAATTAGTGATTGTTTATCTTTTGTTTTTAGAATGTCTACAGTGTTTTCAATATCAGATTTGTCAATTGCTGTACAGACCTTTGTGGTATGGAGGAACTTGTTTCTTAATATAGAGAACATTTTAATAGAAAATGGCTTTCATCTTCTATTTGTTTTTCCTGACAGTAGTGACATTTTCTCTCTTCTACTGTTTGGTTGATGTATCTTCCTTGTATTGCATATGTCCCTCTTCAAAACACTTATATTTAAAGACAATGTCCAGCATTACATAACTTTGTGCTGAATAACCATCTTATTACCGCTGTTAATGAATTTTGTTATCTTGGAATTATTTTCAGTCCAAATGGCAAATTCAAACTCAACCAGTCAATGCTTAAAATAAAGCTATGAAGGCACTATTTTCAACTTGGTAATCTGTTCTGAGACATAAAATGATTAATCCAGAATTGTGCTTGAAATTATTTGATCAATTGATTGTGCCAATTTTGATGTATGGGTCTAAAATTTGGGCTTGTGAATTATGCCAACAACTTGGAACAGGTGTGTAATTAGTTCTATCGTTTTGTTTTGGGTGTTAGCTAAGTGACCCCAACCATAGGCATCAGGGGTGAATTAGGCAGAATTCCTATTAGATTGAAGGCCTCAATTTCACAAAATAAATACTGGTATAGACTGAGCACTTTGTCTGGTAACAATATCCTTGAGGCTGCTTTAAATGAAATGGTAAAATCACAGTCAACATGGATTAAGCATGTAGACAACATTAGGGGAACATGATGTTAGCAAAATTGAAGAAAAAATTTAGTGTGAGTATCAGTAATCAATTGTCAAAAGTAATTAAATTAAAACTGACAAATGATTATATGGGTCTTGGGAAAAATCAATTAACAAAAGCAAATAGTAAGGATGGTGAAAGGAATAAATTGAGGACTTACTGTTTATTTAGAGAAAATTTTGAGTTTGAAAATTATCTGAAAAATATAAATAATTTCAACCTAAGAAAAATGTTAGGTAAATTTAGACTCAGTGATCACAATCTAGAGATTGAACTAGGGAGAAGGAACAAACCAACCAAAAATTTTGTTAGATTACAGAACATGTAAAAGATGTAACATTCTCTTGATGATGAGAAGCATTTTATCTTTCACTGTCCTTTCTTTAAAAGTGAAAGGAAAAGACTTTTTGAAGATTGTAATCTTAAGTCTAATTTACAGACTATATTTTTCTTGAGTAATGAAAAATGCAAAAGCCCTTTCACTATACCTTAAGATACTATCTATAATCCCCTG